GCCGTGAGCGTGGTGGGAGCGGGTAGAAGAGTGGCTGGGAGGGGAAAGAGCAAGCGTGACTGCTTTGTTTACATTCTTGACGCGAGTCCGATTACTGATCCATTCAAGGATGTACGTCGTTCATAATGTTACAGAACGGCAAAATGATTTATCAGTGGTACGTGATGTCATTTCGATCTTTACGATAATTAGTTTTTAGAATTATATACCGTGTTTTACGCACACGCATTTTCTCTCTCTCTCTCTCTCTCTTGCTATTGTTATTTATCTATCTTTTTCTCATTGATATCGTTTGTATGCGAATTAAACGTTGTTTTTATGATATATTGTAAATCATGTGGCACCAATTTCTATATTAAACGCAATATTAAGATATATAGCGCGGTACAATATTTATTTGAGAATTAATTTATTACTCTTAATAATAATATGTTAATACGTATAAGAGAGAGAAAGAGATGAAAAAAGATTTTAATTATATCCATGTAAAGAAATTTAGATTTCTTCGCTTCTGATTTACCGAATCGCAAGAGCTATAGTGGAATCGGAAGTTGAGATATTTCGTGGTGTTCGCGCTCTCATCTGCGATGTATTGCGCATAATTATTTGTGACGTCAGGATGTTATATGACGCGGATATAATATTCGACCTTCGTACAATCAAAGAAACGTAATCATCGATCGCATCGAGTAATTATATCGGTATAATGTCACGTACGTAAAAATCACTTGTCTCATTATGATTGAATTGTAACTAATCATAAGTTACTGACAATGAGAATAAACAACCTGTGCAAGTAACATATAATATCGAAAGTATTGAAAAAGAGTGTCGGGCGACTATCGTATTTTATTTAAATAAATTATATCGTGTATAAATAAGCGTAATATCGAGAATATTAATAGAAAAGTATCGGAAGAAAAGTCGCGAAAAGTATCGAGAAATCTTCGTATTCTGCATAAATACCACGTATATCGCGTTAATGGCGACTTCAAATAATTTTGTGTGCCAGCACAAACATTGTAAAAAGTATTAGTTAAATTATCTAGAAATGATTGTTAACAATAAATATTGTGTATTCTCGTGGAAGAATCAAGAGAAATATTGGACTCTTACATTATTAATTTGAAGTATCAAATCTAAATTTATACATATATTCGTATGTATTTATAAATATTTATGTGTGTGTGTGTGTGTATATATATATATGTATATATAATTTTAGAAATATTTTATAATTCTATATAAATGTATAAAATATAATATTTTAGATTTTATTTCACATGTATTAAATACATTTTAATTTAATGTGTTTAGGAACAAGAAGTGAAAACAACAATACAACAGTGATGGCAGTACAATGGCAATCTAGCAGTATAGTGGTAATGCAACAACACTTTTACAATGTGCAACAACCTGTGAGTAATTATATTTATGTTTATATTTGTTTTGCAGATTATTGAATTTTTATTAATTATTGTTTGATTAGCAATAATTAATAAAAATTGCAATTTTGTTGCAATAATATATTTATTCAAATACCATAATATTATCTATAATATATATTAATATATATATGTGTATATATATATATATATATATATATATATATATATTAATATAAATTTAATTTGAATTATGTTTAATTTTAATATTACGCATATGATATATTTTAAATAGAATTTATATTATTAGAATTTATCATAACTGCCATATTAATATTTTATTAAAGAAGCTTGTAAAGAATGTGATAAAAGATATCATGATTTACTTTCAAACAAATCTGAAACAAATCTTTTAATTTGGATCATATATCATATGCGAGTGATAAATGTAATGCATAATTTATTAAATTTTACATGGGAACATTTTGATATATTTCTTTAATAATCATAATTTATTTTCATTTACTTTCATAATCAATTTAAAACGCGCTATGAAACTTATATCATCGCTAAAAATATCACTGAGTGAGCATGTTAAATGAGTTGGTTATTGAAATTTGATTTTTGCAGACTATTATATGCGGCTATATTAACTTATTATATGCGATTATATTAACTTAAAACAAAAAATTAAAAACATTTTGCTGCATTATATGTATATACATGTGGACGTAAATAACAGCAAATATATAAGAAAAAGATAAAAATAATTTTTTTGTTTTCAACATTAGATTTAATATACATATATTTAATATATAATATTGTGCTAATATAATTTTGAAAATCCACTTAATAGCATTTTTTTTCGCGCAAAAAATAGTGAGAACCTGAATGAATATAGAACCTGTGTGAATATAGAAAATTTAATACGAATGATATTTCTATTAATAGCTAGATAAATAGCAAGAGAGCTAGATTATATTTCGATGAATTTCGCACATAAAATGTCGACAAAAATAGCTCTCGCATTCCGAATTCCAAGTTACGTTGTGCGCAATAGGCCCCCTCAAACCTCAAAATCCTCTGAGATAAAACACTTTCTGCTCTCTGGCTAAGCCAGAAGCAAATTATCACGGGATAACTTCCGTGTATAATTCATCGACGCGGAAAATCCATGACTTTTTTGGTTATTTAATTTATTTATTCAATATTTCTTGCATCAACTCGTATCAATATACCAAAAAATTGTCCATAGTCGTCCATAAAATTAATCATATTACTTTCATCGAATAACGATACGCAGTGTGATTTTTGACGAATGCATGCTGTTCGCACGCTTTCTTAACGCGGTGCACTTCCTTTTTTCGTGGACAAATGTTGAAATCTCTCCTGCATTTCGTATATACACTCAGTCAATCGTGAACATGCATCAATCGCGATTTCTCGTGGAAACGCTACATATATAGACATGCTACATTTCTAAAAGAACATTATTTGCATTTTGGTGTTCGTTATTATTCACCACGAAAATTTATAAAGAACGTTATATATATTTTGAAATATGTTTGGAATATTCTTTATTATTTGTTATAAAAATTTATAAATCCTTATAATAGAATTTATATTAAAATAATATAAATTTTATATAAAAATTTATAAATCCATATAATAAAAAATATTTTATAGATTTGCTTTAAAAAACTATAAGTGAACAATTTAACAGGAAGTAAGAATTTAAAAAAATATCCTATTTATATTGTTAATTTTCAATAATAAAATATTCCAAATAGTTCTATTTATATTATTAATTTTCAATAATAAATCTCGAATATTTATTGTCATTTAGCCAAATTAGTGAAATTTTTTTTTATATTTTATTATAAATGGCATGTTTTACTGAAATATCCTGCACAATCAGTCCGAAAACACAAATAATTATAAGATAGAGCCTGAATTATAATTATAGAATGTATAATAAAATAGTCATTTACTTTTATAACTGAAATTTGGCATATAATTAAGATTATAAATATAATATAGGAATTAAAATTTTTTTGTATATATATATTTTTTTAGTTATTTTTTGTTAATGGAAGTAAACTATATGATATTTGCAACAATTACATGATATGCAGTTAATTGTGTAATATTTGATGTATTGCATTTTAAATACATAGTTTAGGGGAAAATAAAAAATATATAATTATGTTTACATTAATAATTAATTTGGCAATTACGAATATACAATTAGTAAAAGAACTAAATTTTTTTTATTTATAGTTTATAAATTTCTAGACTATATTATATTTATATTTTTGAAAAATGTGATATAATGTTTTAATTTTTATATAATTTTAATTTTCAAAAAATTAAGAAAGATAAAATAATCACATCAATTACAAAATTACAAAAAATGAAAAAGAGAGATATAGAAATATTTCAAGTTCTCTCATAATTTATATGATGCGTGACATTTTCTTTGCAATTATGTGCGATATTAGAATTTAAAAGTATTGAAACATCAGATTGTCGATCGTAATGTGAATTGGTCCTTAAATTAATATATTTATGATTTAATTTGTCGCATGAAACATAGAAATTATATAAAATTAAAAGATATTTATCTCTTTCAAATTATTATATTCCTAATTAATTAATTTTAATTTAATTTTATTATATGTCGAAATTATGTATATTACACCTCTGCTTTTTGTTTCCTTTTAAAGCACATTGAATCGTCAAGAGATGAAATTATGACATTTTTGTTTTTATTAACTCTAATAAATAATTGTTATAAGCGATATTGTATGTTTCATGCACAATGAGCGAGATTATCGAGTTTCGCAAGTTAATCTGCGACGACGTGAGAATCGCGAGAATAATTGTTCCGTAACAGAACGTTTCTCAAAGATACCTGATTTGGTAAGGTATCTTAACAGCACATGATTGCATGTGCCATGATGTTTATTGCTATACGTACTTCTTATGTAGTTCAATTTCAGAGCTACTAGTCGGATAGCTAATAATCGGAACAGCTGTGAACAGCTGTGAATATTATTTCATATTATTGATTTATTTTTTTTTCTATAATAATACTATAATAATACGAATAATATTCTATAATAATACGAAGTATTCTAATATAGAAGGATTATTTAATAGGAAATTTTAGTAGAAAAATATATTTATTTCACAGCACAGTCGCATATATAATGTGGAAAGCGGTTTTCATCTTGCAAATGATGATAACAATATTTCCAGCTTTTAATTAATTAGATTCTAAATTACTGAAATTATCATACATAAATATTTCTAATATTAAAATAGTTACAATTTCCGAAATTTAATTATTGAATACACATCTTGTTGCGCAATTAAATTACAAAGAATTGAAGACGTAAAGAAATGGTTACAATTTGTTGATATCTTCCTTATTGAAAAATTAAAAGATTGATCGCAATTGATTAATTGATCGAACTACGAAGAGAATAACGCGCCTTAATATACTTGAACGTGATGTGCTACTTTGCGGACGGGATAATATCATTTAGGCGCAGCACAAAAAGAACCCGCAGCATCTATGCAGGCGCGTGAAACTTAATAATATATTTATGATTTATATAATAATTACCGAAACTCAATACTTTCACGCGTAGACTGTCGGAATGAAATCCCGGTGATATTCGTACAGTAGGAAATTATAGCTTACCTCGCGATCAGCGATTAGAGATAATTGCAAACTCGGAGTTTTGCGCGCGTATCCATTTTACCGTGACGAAGAAATTTGCACCGCTACTTTATTCGCTACTTTGAACGCAATAGGACTGTTCCGATATGATCGAGATGATTTTATTTTCATCTTGCTTTTAACGTTGATCGAAATCGTTTGGAAACATAGTCTTCATCTTGCATGGTGAAAACCGCCGACCGTCAATCAACGATATCACCGATCATCGTAAAATTTTCCACTCTGTTGTTACTTTGCAAAAGCGTATGTGCTGCTTGGTGAGGAAGGAACATCCTTTTTTTTTCTTTTTCCGATGGGCGTTGCCAATTGTGCGAATAATCCCCTTCGCGAGCAGCTCATCTTCATTATCATCATTACTTGGCTTAATCATCGCCTCCTGTCATGACTTCCATGAACTCTGAAATGCGCGAAATGCAGTGGGCGTTAATGTAATCAAACGGCGCCTCGTGTTTTCCGTGGGCTATAAACTTGGCGAATTACCCAACACTAGAAACTTATTGAATGTTCGATCGGCTTTGCTATTAGTGTCGGTTATGCTAAGCTTTTCTGACATTGATGTGCGCGAAATGAATTTCCTTGGCTTGGGTTTTGTAACTTGAGCAGATTTTATATTGAACTACTTGGCTTTCGAAGCAAACCACATGTTATCTTATCTTGCAAATTACAGTTGTTAGCTGCAGCTCTTGTGCACAATTTCTTAAACATATTATTTTAAATAGGTTCCCCCAATACGTGCTTGACATGTTTAAAGATTTTAGCATATTCCTTAAACATAATATCAAATCTAGTACAAGCTTTTTTTATAATTAAATATTATAGTAGTATTTTTTACCACGTCACAAAATTAAAGAGTTGTATATTATTAAATTAACTCAATTTTTTAATTTTTAAAATGCTGATTTGTAAAATAAACATTTAAAAAATTCAATTCATATTAATTTCTCAGTTGAATGATTATTTTGTACAAACAAAGCATATTAGATTTATTTAATTAGAGTTAATAAATAACACGAAAAAAGCGAAATAAAATGAAACAGTGTATTTAAAAAATACCGTCAAAATCAAGCGTCCCCGATCCATCAGCGTCAATCTCCTCAATCATCAGGTCGAGTTCTTCCGGTGACAGTTTGTCGTCGAGTTCATGAAGAATATCGCGAAACACTGCGGTAGTTATATAGCCATTGCCCTCCTTGTCGTACAATCGGAATGCTTCGCGTAATTCTTGTTGCATCGCTTCCGTATCCTCCTCTACCAAGAATCTAGAAGCCAGCGTGCAGAACTCCTCGAACTCCAGTTCGCCGGAGCCTGTTGATATAAAAAAAAAATATATAAAAATGTTAAGCACGTAGTCGAAGAACATAATCGCGAGATATCGATGTAATTTTGACTTACCATCCTCGTCTATTTCGCTAATGATTTCATGTAGCGTGTTTTCACTGACTTCGTGACCCAACATGGTCAATATCGTGCCCACCATGTTGCTACCGATGCTACCCTTCTTTTCATGATCGAAAGCGTCGAAGGCTTTCTTCAACACTATTCAGAAAAGAGATAGCTTAATGTTATCCTGAATTTTTTTTTATCATAATGAAGAAAGATATATATACTTACAAGCCAATTGGTCCTTATTTAGCTCATCCTGGAATTGTGAAAAATATAATTACTACCCAAAACTACACAAAACATCAATTATTATTAAAAATCACACTAATGCAATAATTAATTTACGATAAATTTATAAAGAGTACTAATTAATTTTCTTTGAGTCTCTCCATCATTTCTCTTAAATAATTTTCTATTATATTTAGGATAAATATTTAAACTTTTGCTGAATTATATTATTTTTTTAAAATTTAATTCTAATGTTGAATTGTATCGAATGCTATTATTTGAATTTTATGCGTATATTTAATTTTCACACTTCTCGACGCGGAAAAACGTTAGAATTTGACGAATAATTTTCACGTTTATCAAAATTATACGACTTGCCATAATGATAACTATACGCGTTGCTCGTGGTACGGTGGCGTCGACGGTTTATCCGGTTATGCAGAAGATTCTGGCCGTCGACTTTTGTTTTAAGTGGTCATAACGATGATATTCTGGCACGTGATTGACTAGGTAATATCTACACATGCCGAGTCTAGTGGTTTTCAAATTCATCGAGGACGCTCCCCCCACTCTATTTCCATAGACGCATTTTACCTAATTTTGCAGAACTCATGGCAACGCATTTAATTTCGAAAATTATCCATGCCACTGGCAGTTATATATTCGATTTGTCAAAACGGCCAAAATATTCTGACGTTCTCACATCAGTATAATTAATGCGAGCATATTGCACGCAATCTGTCTTGATGCGAATAATTAACTATGATATGAAATGTGTGTTACATCCGACCACATTAATTATATAACAGTTTATTTTATTTATTTAAAACAAAACTGTGAATTTAAAAAGATCAATCTTGTTTACGTTGTCAGAATATATGGAATATACGTGTAAAAGTATTGAAAGCCCTATTTGATTTTGTTATACAAAGACGCGATATATTTAATTATATTAAATGACTCTGTTATATTAAATTTCTTTACGTCTCGGATACTTTTACAAATAAAATACAATTTTTTTTATCTGCCATAACAAAAAATTTAAAATTTGAATTGATATATATTTGATATATATTATTTGTAATATATAATTTATTGTAAATAGTATATTATAATAGAAGAAAAATATTATAGATTAAAATATTTGATTAAATATATTTATAAAATTCTATAGAAAAAGAAATATATAAATAATTATTTAAATATAAATATAAATAATTATTAAAAAATTAACTTAATATGATGAGGATTAGCTTAAGGCTAGACGCAATGAAATATTTTTTCAAATTATATTTTTATTAAAAGATATAGCGACATGGATTTATGATACGTGGATTATGATAGCGCAATAACGTTTAATGCCCTCTTAAAATATATCTATGAATCGCGATAAAACTATTTCGCATCTTCTAACTAGGCCATCGCGGAAATATCTTATGATTTTTGGATCTCGCATCTCCATAGTTAACACTTCACAAGCGGTTCATTGTGAAATTTTGCATCGTTTCAAAATGCCGAAATTTACGAGCGACGCGATGTGTGACCAGTGGTATGGATGCAACAATAGACAGTATTGGCTCATCGCCGGAAAATTCATGGGTGAGGCTGACCCAAGACGGCTCTATGCAATAACCGTGCACAGATCTTATTCTTAGCTTCCTAATTATAAGCTCATAAAGCCCGGTGGCTGCTATTATATTTAGGTGATTTTATCATTCACTCCGGAATACAGCCGTTTGCCATCGCGTGCATTGTCGAGCTCCCCTTGGAGCATGCTGCTCTTTCGACGAAAGTTCACAATGGATTATGTTGCTGTTACATTCGAGCGTGTAACATCGCAATTGATGTGTGCAAAGCACGTGCTATTACAGTTGCCAACACGCGAGTATGTATTTTCAGGTGCAACATCTTGTATTGATTGCAACTATAATTATAAACTCTTTATAATAATGAGAGATTACAGAGAATTACAGAATGCACATGTACATTTCTTCAATCACTGAAATACTATATTAAAAAAATAAGATATTCATTTCTTTATATATTTTCTTATCAATAAGTTTTAAACTGCGATCTTCAAATATTGTTAAAATGTATAATATTATAGTAAAATAAAATCATATTTTACTGTGTTTTTAATTACTAATGAATTTTGTTATAAAATAAAAAAAATAGTAAAGTAAAATAAAGAAAAAAATAATTATCAAGTTTTTATTTTGCATGTTTATATTTTTTTGAAATTTTGGAAAGAAGTAATTAACATCTCATGCATTAAAGTTTGTTTGATCGGAATTTATTGGAATAAATCTCACTCGTGTTTTATATATGATTTTATAACATATTCGATATTAATTTTATTTAGCATGTATTAAAACTCATTTAAACTTAAATATTTATTTAATATATACATATATAATTACATATCATATAGACAAAGTATTTTTTTTAATTATGACTTTTAATAAATTAATAATTATTAATTTAAATATAATCTTATTATTCTACTTTAATTATTTCAAAGATATTGATTTTTATTTATAAATTTATGTTTGAGATGGCTATATTCTAGGCATGTTATTTTATTAAGAAATTTTTAAATTTATTTTTGATTACCCGTTGATTAGCCATCATTAAAATTCTTGACTCATGTATTTTATTTAAGAAAAAAAAAAAGAAAAAATAACTTTTACGACGGATCTCTTTTATGATAAACGATTATATTCCGCTAGTGTCATATATAATTTTGAAGAGATTTCAGCTTGTCTGTTTATACAGGCACGTTGTCTGATATGTGGGCGATAGACACGACGCATCCGCGCGGTGCCAAAATCATAATTTATCCTGTCATGACCTCCATGAATTCTGTAATGTAAACGCCAGGTTAGTCAGGTTTGCGAAGACGAAGTGGAATAGCACCTGTGCACAAAAGATCTCTCACCATCGAAATCGACTGTGCCAGATCCGTCAGCATCTACTTCATCTATAATCATATCTAGTTCCTCCGGAGATAGCCCGTCGTCCAGTTCATGAAGGATATCTCTAAACACATCGGTTGTAATATAACCGTTGCCTTCTTTGTCGTATAATCGGAATGCTTCTCGTAATTCTTCTTGTACTGCTTCAGCATTAGTATCCTCTTCGAGGAAGTGCGATGCTACCTGGCAAAACTCTTCGAATTTTAATTCCCCGGTCCCTGAAAATAAATATCCAATGAGAGTTGAGATTTTTATTGAGATGATTTACGATCAATTTCTTGTGATGTTTATATTTTTCGCGAATTCTTTATTTATTTAAAAAATAAATTTTCCGTAATTTTTTTACAAGAGCTTGCACATTTTTACACTATACTTTAAATAAACAATCTTATATTTTTTATTTAAAGTATAGTGTAAATTTAAATAAATAGATTTAAATTTTAAATAGATATATAATAAAATAGATAAAAAAATAGATCATAATCTACTATTGTTTAAAATGATGGAGAATATTTAGGATGCATAGCTGACGAATATAATTATATTTTTTTTTTGATTGGCTTTTTTATATTATATACATACACATATCATACTTACCCCATGTATCAACTTCATATATAATTTCATTAAGTTCTTCTGAATTTATTTGGTGGCCAAGCATTTCCAGAATTGTGCTTACCTTGTCCGTACCTATACTACCTTTTTTGTCGTGATCGAATGCCTCGAATGCCATTTTTAAATCTATTTAAAAATACTATTTTTAATTTTTTAGATATCGAATGTCTAAATACATTTATTGCGATTATTAACAATAACTGCAAATTTGATCACATTGTCGCATCACATTATATTCGGAGAGTTTGTATCACAAAAATAATATCGCTTTAATATATAAGTGCACTTACGAGATACTTGATCCTTACTAAGCTGAATTTCTTCCTACAATTGCGAACAAACGTTTAAAAAAATATATATTATTAACAATTCAATGCGAAAAAAACATTATAATAACTAATTATAATTTAAGTATTTTTAGTTTATAGGTAACTTTATATAAGTTTACAATAATTACCATATCGTTAAAGTTTGCTCTGTTCTAGTGAGACTGTCAAATTAATCATAAAACAATTAACAAGTCTCTTTTCAATTACGGCTAACTCACTGTTCTAGAGAGAGAATTGTACTGAGCTGTCGTAAATTAATTAGCAGAGCGATACTATAGACGCACACCTACAATCGATGTCAATAGATCATCACCAATCACATGTATCGAACCGAACTCGCTATAAAAAGATTTTTATTTAGGACACTTTCACGGCTGTACCCTCACGAAACAATTACCATGCTCACGCAATTTAGTGAACGTTTGTCTAGTTAAAAAAATATATCATTATTTAAAAAAATTATAAATATATAAATAATATCTACACTTATTTAAACGTTATAATTTTACATTTCTTAGCAAAATAAATGTTATAACATCAGATATATTGTAGGATTTCTTGGATTCTATCTGAATTCTATTTGGATTCTATGATAATTTTATATTTGTATGAATATATTATATTTTAATAATGTGAAAGAGAGAGAATTATTCTGGTAACAGATTTTAAAAAACAATTATGAATTTTTGATTATGATTTATAATTATGAATTTATATGCTTTTTTTATATTTTTTTCTATTCCTCTTTATTAAGAAAAATATTTTAACAATTTCCTAGTAATAAAAAAAATTATAGTATAGCTAATATTATTTAATTTCACATTTGAAGATGATTTAATCTGGGAGAGAATTTTCTCTCTTTCTCTCGTGATATATTTGATATTATCTTTGTATGACGTAGATGGTTGCACTATAGCGAAACGATTCCCCCGCACATAACGAACTATTCGCGAACGTGAAAGCGATTATACGTTGCAAAGCGTATCGTACATATAGCAGTTTGTCATTGGCATTGCATCCTTTTAGAGGATTGCAGTGGATTGCCGACAGCTCGTACGTGAAAAAATCATCTGGCAACTCTACCTTTAACCTCGACATATGTATGTTAATCTTTACTAGCCAATCAGATAAAGCTTCGATGTTAAATCGAACTACTGATCTAATAGCTAAAAATAATTTTAGATACGGGGAATCGCTTCATTACCATAATAAATGATTCATTGAAGATTGCTAAATTTAGAACAGTTAAAAGCGCAAATTTTCATCGATCATTTCGATTTTATCATATTTGTTTAGGCACACATTTATCTATAATTTTCAAAATAATTTTTTTATGTTGTTTTATTTACTTGATTCTCTATAGCTTTATTTTTGAAACACTAAGTTTAATTATGATATTAACAAGCAAATCACAATTGTTACTTTAACAGAATTGTTATTTTAATAGAATTGTTATGTTATTTTAACAGAATTATGAAAATGTTTTAATTGAAATTTCTAATATAAATTTCTTGTAGATTAAAAAATGAATTTTTTCCTATAATTATATGAAATAAATTTAATCAGGAAATGTAACGTATTAATATATATGTAAATGTTGTGCAAACTGTATGAGTTTGAGGATATCAGGACATTTTTACAATATTATTTTTATTTATATTTATATTTTTCTTCTCTTGAATCTTTTTCAAATTACACAATACTATTATCGTAACATACTGCGTGTTCTTGACATTAACCTATGTGAATTCGGGCTGTTAGCCAAATTTAATTAAGTTTGGAATAAACCAAGATTTCCGGACAAAATGATAACATCATGCAAAATACATAAGCACTTGATATTTGAAAAATAATAAATATAGCTCTTCTCAAGGAGATATATTATTGTTCAATAAATATAGCTTTTTGATCATTTGGATACCTCGGATACTTTTGTATCATTATATATTATGGAAGAAAAAAGCGTTTAATTTGGTCACAACACGTTATAATTAACGATTATTAATTTATTACATCCTCCTTTGATCACATTTTCTCAATTTTATTATTAGAAAATGTTGATTTTTGAAATATTAAATAACGATATCTAACCCAAATAACTTACTGCATATTACTATACTGCATATTACTATATCTACATAGAATCGTAGTTGCTAGAAATTTCCGACATGCAAAAAGAATGCATTTAATTATATCTACTTTATAATATGTAATTGTTAATAAGTGTAATTGTTAATAAGTGATTATTGATTTTATGTTGATCACTTAAAAGTTTTTAAATTGATAGACGAAGAAATATTGTATAAACTCAATGATATAAAAAGGAGAACAAATTTTATTTGTACAGTTTTGTGTACGCGACAATTGAAACAAAATATAACGAAACATAATGAAGTATTAATGAGGAAGTTATATTACAAATATATTTAAACAGAAATGTGAAATATATATTTAATAAGTTTCCAGTTAAGTAAATGAAAAAAATAGTGAATTTTAAATTAATAAGTAAATATTAAATATCTTATAAAAAACGATTTTATTTAATTATATAAATATCTATCATAATTATTAATGATTATTTTTATAAATATACAATAATATTTATAATAATTATAAACATTTACTATGTTTTTTCATTGTGATTCTGTTTTGATATTTACGTAATTCTTTTGTCAAGAAATGTAAATTAAACGAACAGAATAAAATATTGAAAGTTATAAATAATGAATACTTCATATCCAGAGCAAAATCAGAATATATCTTTGATATATTACACGTCGAACACACACATAATTTCGACGATGCAATTCAATTGACACAGTCTACAATATTTTATCGAATCTAAAATGGCAATTTGCCTGCACACGACATTGATTAATGTTATCTTATTCACTTGTCGATATACATATTCCGTATTGATTATCTATACATCCTTACTAAAGAGGAACCTCGAGAATTGTCATGCATTCGCATTTTAATTAAATAGTAATATATAGATATCATTATGTGAATAAAAATGCATATATAATTTGAGATCATTAATAAAGATTATAATTAAATTTAATAATTGAGAAAAGATAAATATTCTTTACTAAATATTCTTTATATAATTGTGAGTATTTATTAAAATCTGCCAAAGCACGATTTTTTTATACATTAATTTAGCAAAGTAAAAAATACGGATGATAACGAATAAGCGAAGGTATGGTGATAATGAATAAGTTTGCTTATGTCATTTTTATTCAATTGAAAGTTTCACATATACACGTAGTAATCATTAACGATATAATAAAACAATGACATATAGACATTAGAATTTGAGTAGATGCCCGAGTCGCGGGTCGCGAAATGGGGAGAAATGCTTCATAATACATACATATCACGTAATAGGTATATCATATCATATGACAATATATATATATAACATTATGTATAGACATATACAGACGAAGTTTCGTGTATGTGTGTATCATATATGTAACATCGATATAACATTAGGCGTGATTTAGTCTTGTATGTGTATGTTCATTTAGGTACGTGTTGTATACAACAGTAATACGTATCTTTGTCTAATTGTAAGAGCATTTACGCCGAGAAATGTATATATATATATATATATATATATATATATATATATATATTACATATATATATGTATGTGTACATTGATTGACAAGAGAGAGAACTAGTCCTTCTGTCTAATTTTTCACACGAACTTTACTTCTTATATACGTAAGAATTGCGATGGCTTTTTTCTCTTTTTTTTTTTCATTTAAATAGAAGACAGTGAGAAAAGAGGGGATGGAACGCTCCGTAAGATTACAACGTGTGTGTCGTGTGTGATGCATGTCGTGTTAATGCAATACATATGCGTATTGAGAGTACGTGTTAACACAGATACGAGGTTTCTCGAGTCGTGCGAGGAAGCGACGTGTGAGCGAGCACCGAGGTTACAAAGATATTATCCTTCGATCAATAGTTAGTTAAGCTCCGTTTATCATCCTTACGCGCGGGTGGATCCCGAGTGGGACCGTCGATAATTTCGTTTACACGTCCCGTTGACGCACACACACACACATATATAAATATATATGTACGTATGTATATATGTATATGTATATCGTCTATGCGTGTACGCAGCATACGCGTCTCTTCAGGGTATCACGCGCTATTAAATGAAGTAAATAGAGGAGCCAGGTGCGCTCGTCGGGCGTGCCGGCAACGATCCGACCACATTGTAAGACGCTGTACAAAAATATCCGCTTATAATAATTAGTAATAATAAACGGCGCGCCCGACGAGGCCGGCACCGTCTCTCAGCGATATGTCTCGATATGGTTCTGCGGGCTCGATGTCCGAAGATACGTCTTGTGATCCTTTCGATGCTGCGACCCCTGACATGTGAAGTGCAAATACCCGGTCTACGCTACGTTGCTTGTGTTCTGAGATCTTATTTTCTCTCGATTTGCTTGATCCTTATTCAATAAGATGTAGAGCGTGTAGATAATTGTACGCGCGTTACGCAAATACAGCACGGTAATTAGAGCATTTTAACAGTATGCCATCGTGATATTTAGCAGCGAAAGGATTAAAGACCATGCGAACTGGACGCGATCCCGTTTTCGCTCTAAAAGTTGCCTAAAGATATATTCTAACGCGCCCGAGCCGGAAGTTTTTCGGCGAATTAACGTTTATTAAATTAAGCGAATCCGAAAAAGTACCATCTTAATAATGTACGTTCGTTCTATTAATTTAGTGAAGTAATTTAGATGAAAAAAAATTTATTTCAAATTTAAAAATAGAAAATAGAGAAAATAAAAATGATATCGAACGCTCTCAGGAAATAATCGAAACATGAAATATAAAAAGATCATCCGAAAAAGGTTTCCTCGTTATATTTCAAATGCGTTCTTTATCTTTAGATTGTTACAATAAAAATAAAAGTATCTATCAAACTTCCGACTCAGATATAATATTATGCTACTACGCTAGTTTTACTTTCGTTTCTATCAACTTTTTTTTGTAACTTGCTGCCGTTCACACACTGTCGTCTTTTTTTCTCTTTTAAAATTATAATTATACACAGATTTTTTAAAAATAATCTTACGCTAGATTATTCGCGCATGCATTTTTTATATATTATAAAAAATGAAAAAAAAAATTTGGGAAATGTGGATAATGAACATGTATAGATATGCCTCGTACGGATCCTAAGCTTAAATGTAGGGCCTGCAGAGAATCGTATTCGGCGTATCTGTAGTTTGTTTTTTTATTTTAACTTATTTTAATTTAATATACCAACAATACAATCACATAAATATTTTTTATTTAGAGAAAAAGAAAATATTCCGTATTTTAGAATATTTTACGATAAAACAGCGCGCGAAATAGGAATAAAATAATAAATCTGGCATTTCTATTTAAATAGATTTAAATGGAAATCGATTTTACTTATTTTATTTAACGTCAGTATATGCTCGGCGATTTCATATCATTTATCAATATAACTTCTTAGAAAAAACATCTAGTGCATATATGTATATATAAGAGATATAGGTATATAATATATATCTTTTATGATCATATAATAATGCATAATAATATATATATTATATATAACGTACATATATGTATATATGTATATGTTAACAAATAAATTCTCTTAAATCTCGTACGTTCACGATATGTATACGATCTTTAGTCGTTATAGCTTCGTCAAGCCTTAAATCGACTTAATTAATCAGTTTATCTTACAAGTAAATTTGGGCGTATAAATGATATGTGTACGTGTGTATGTGATATCGTCACACGCTCCTGCCTGGGCATTCGAAAGAGAAGATCTTACTTTCTAAATATATTTTCATGAACTATAGATATCACACGATTTCTTACAGAGTCTGTGTACGATGATCTAGTTATATAAATTTAAAACGGTTACAAATTAAATTTACACAATCTAGAACGGGATAAATATAAAGCATGTCATCATTATCGGATTTAATGCATTTTTTTCTTAAATTTTCATACGTGTGAGATCTTGATATTTTATTTTTGTACGTATAAGTTCTCTTTACTGTGCTATCGAAATAGCACATTTATGAAAAAAATATGTGCATTGAATATTTGATTGTTGTAATCGAGCAAAAATGATGAAATGAAGCCAAGAATTAGAGTGTCCTCTAAGAAATTCTCTTTCGAAAAGCTCGGCTGGACGCGCCAATATAACGCATACAGGTGTCCTTAGTATTCCGCCACGTGGCATGCGCTTCTTACAATAATGCCTTAGGCTTAATTCTATCTTATACTTATTATACGTATCGAATAGCAAAACACATATTACTTTCCGCGTTAGCACTGTGATCAGCACTACGTCCCTATGAACTACAGCGCTCTCCTAATCGGTTTCCCGTTTCTGAATACGTCTTCTCTGAGAAATGCATTCACTGAAATGCATTCGCCGAATATCTTTCGAAGCGAAGCACGCGTGCTTAATTTCCGTATGTCACGATCTACTTCCGCTATACAAGGATAAATGATTTATTTCAAGAGAGAAGATAAATATCCTATATACAAGTCAGGAATTACGCGTCTATGATTGTTTGTCTCGCAAGCACGTGCGTGGCATGTGACGCTTCCCTTTTGCAGGGTGATGCAATTTTAGCGCACATGTATGGCGAAGTAGCCGAGTCGTAAAGCGGACGCAACGAGGCGTTTGAATAACCGCGTTTGTGCTCTACCGACACTTTGACAAGTGTCAGTTTCCTGCTGGGAGTATTACGTGTCATCAGCACAGTCGTTATCTCATTTCGTGCGGTCGGGTCTTTGCGAATCGAATTAAGTATCGGGACGATCTCAAGATGTTAGCGACTGTCATGCAGCGACATTCCAAAGGAGAAGTTGATAAGAGACATATGTTGTATGAATACATTTTCCACGCGATCATTTCCTTTCAAGCCTCCCACAGTATCTAATTAACACATCTTAATAGAACAGTAGTTATACTTTTAAAAAAATTAAACCAGGAGCCCCAATAATTTTTAATAATTTTTTCTAAAGTAATAATTAATAAATTATTTTGTCTAAACTAATAATTAATAAGTTAATAATCTCTTAATAATTTTTCTTTTATAATGAATATGAAAAGCATTCGTTCGAATAATTTGTCCACTAAAAGAATTGTTGGACGATGAATAAAAAAATGATTTAGTAGCTTGAAAGTCTCCGGGAAGAGATCATGACATACGGATGAAATGCGAGCATCATGGAGATATGCCGGCTATTTGCAACACCGACTATTGTTCAACAGGAACGTATTGATATGTATACGACGAGCGGCGCGAAATCGCGCCTGACGGCGATCGACTTCCGGCCACTCGAATCCGCTAGTGAATATACTACGCCTCGCGCCGCGAGCTTAATAACAGATAACCACGAAATAATTGGCAACGATGCTGATATGTAACGTTCCGGTGAAGAAACCTCGCGCGTTCCTCTCGCGAGCGAGAATTCTTCGGTCCACTCGTCGATCGCACGCGATCGACATTCGATCTTACACGGTAAAAAACATTTTGTATTTCTGTTAAAATTTCCTCGTGTAAAAATTTTTGTGTTAAATTTTTAACATACTTTTATGTCAATATAACATATTATCATTGCGTTATTTTGACATTGCTGCGTTGAGTTAATGTTCACCGTTTCTAAAAGTTAAAACAACACAATTAATATGTAAATGCACGGATTTTTGATAAAATATGTTATATGTTAAAATGAACAGATAAGTGTTATTTTTCTCTCTATAACAGTTTTCATATGTTAGATCGACATATCTTTTCTGTTATTTATTATAAAAACGTAAGAATAACATTTTCTTTTAATTAAATTTAACATTATAAATATGTTAATTTAACATAAACTTTATTTCCAGATAAAGTTTAAGCGTTACTTTTGTGTTAATTTTTAAACATATTCCAGATAAAGTTTAAGCGTACTTTTGTGTTAATTTTTAAACATACTACTTGTTTATTTACATACTTGCCTTCTGTTAAATTAACATTAGAGTGGATAAATTGGGACATGTGAAATATGTTAAATTTAACACAAAATTTTTTACTGTGTAGCAACCGCTCAGATCCTGTACCATCGAAGGGTGCGAGAGGAAGTAACGTCAAATCGCTATTGTATCCCATTACATATTGTTTCCGATAGAAATCTGACAAATTATCGAGCAGCAGGAAAACCTGCTGCTATTTTATCATTTACTATGCAGGTTGCGGTGGGCGCGATTCAATCGTAAAATATCTGAGCGTGCCATAAATAACAGTGATATTATCAGAAATAAATCCGCCCTCATAGCAAGTACATCTTCTACCGTCCTGTCATTAAAATTATCTAATCATCCAACGTTTGTGATTATCATTTTCAAGTGGAAAGGGATTGCTCATAATACATACCGCGATCTGAAATTATCGCCACGATTACTTTTTTTTTTAATAGTAATAATATTGTTTCGTGAATTGCTATCGTTCTGCGTTGATCAAGATTTCATGTAATCAGTCTGCTTAGAGGTGCACCGGACAATGTTTAAGCATTGAAATTAAACTAATTCATCTTGTAGCTCTTCTCTAATTTAGGAACAATTAGATTGAAATCTAAATGTTTCGGCAAACTGACAATGGACTAAATTGGAGGATTTTCCAATAATCCGGCTAGAGGGAAAAATCTTGTGAAGAGACCGGAGGAAGGTATCCAGGAGAATTTAAAGTACTCAGTTCTCAAGAGAGGTCGATTGTCGCAATTGCACGCGATATTATTGTCCATGTGCGATCGCATGGACGCGTGTTTGTACAGAAGAAAAGCAAAACGCGATCAGCTATATATTTATATGTACGTCTAATATGTCATTCCGTACGTGAAGCCGACGTCTGTCTTTCTGTGCTCCTGGGAAATAAGAGAGCGATTTTTTTTTCAGAAGAAATCAATCATTCCCGTCACATCGAACCGTAGTAATAATTCGTTCCCGTAATAGTGCTTTCCTCGTCAATTGGTTTTTACCCGACTCCGATTAAAATCTATCATATTCGGTCGTGATGATGCGTCAAGATTTCGCGTCGAAGCTCGCTTACGTCATTTTTATGACAGGCCACAACTCACTATGAGTATATTAAATTATTGCGCGCACGATGGTAAAGTTTCACTTCGGTTTCTCTACAAAAGACTGGCTTACGTCGACGAAGATGTTGATCGCGGAATCGTGACACGTCTCCGCTATCGCGTCACGATTACCTCGAAAAGGAAAGGAGGGAAACAAGCGAGGAAAATCTCTCGTGTCATGAAAACTCACTCTCTCTCTCTCTCTCTCTCTCTCATTAAACTTGAATAACAAAACCGAAAACTCATCATGATTCGCGACGCTTAATGCAAACGTTGATGCTAAACGTAATCGTTAATCCCATCTCGTTGGCGTCGAAAGGAAAAGTCTATGGTATTGTAATCGCGAAGTAGCGCACTTTCGCCGGTTTACACCAGAACGGCAACGAGAAGCAACATCGGTAACGCGTCGACGTACGTTTTACATCCGGTGCTCGACGACGAGTATTTACCGGCATTTTTGCCTGTGCAACCCATCCTCTCGAGCGGAATATTCTGCACGGAGTACTCGCGATGCTCCGAAATCATCGTGCAGATCGTTCGCTTCTTTGACATCATCTCGTCGTCCTTGTCGCGCAGATTCCCGAGCCATATGGAATACCATCGTAGATCGCAGTCGCAAATCAGAGGATTATCTGTGTAAAAGAGAAATGGAAAGGAAAAGAGATAAAAACGAGTAAAGCTGCGCGAAATGTATGAAACACTCGAAAAGTAATCTGATGAGTTTGATAAGACGCAATCTTGACAATAAAAATGAGAATTTTTAGTTAAATCGGAATTATATGAAATAATTATTTTTTAAATTATTATTTTATTCGTTGATTATTTTCTATTTTTTCTACTATTTCACATCAAATTTGTACTGTTTACTTGACAATAATAGAGACATTTTTGTTACCTGTTATATCAATATGGCGTAAAGTGTCAACGATACTTTCTGTGACTTCTTCTGAGATATGTTGGAGCTTGTTGTTTTGCAAATTCAAAGTTTCCAGCGAATTAAGGTTGTCGAATACCAGAGGCGGAAGAACTTTAATCCTGAAAAGATAATGTGATGATGCAGAATATTTTATATATGCTAGAGAAAGCTTTTTTAGCATAATATTTCATGCTAACAATTACGGATTATTTTATTATTAAACTGTAAGAAATTAATTTCTAATGCACAATAAATTGATTTAAATGTGACTTAAATTCTCAATATATGAGAGAAAAAAATATTACATATTTTTCTGCAGATTAAGGAAAGTAATGGAATCTCCATAGCCCGTGAAAGCGTCCTCCGGAAGTGAAGTAATATTATTTGCCCGCAAATCAAGGTGACGCAAGCGATGCAAACGTCGTAGAGCGTCGCTCGGTACCGAATGTAAATTATTATCTCCTAATCGTAAATATTGTAAATTTTCTGAAATAAAAGATTGAAGATTACGAGCAAGAATATATGAAACAGAACGTTAATATTTAAGGGATGCGAAGATAAGATTAATTATTCCAAAATGTTTCGTTAAATAAATAATTTTCTTGTTTATCAGATTTGTGAAAGAGTTAATTGATTTTCTCGTTTAATGGCAGACATAACGTAATTAAAACAGTCATGCAAACATATATTAGAACGAATGTAAGAGACAGCAATCTAATTCGCAGTAGATAACTTTGTAAGAATTATATAAGAAGCATCAATAATAATCTTCGAAAGTTATGACATGCTCAAACAAATTTCTTTGGATGGATTATAGTTAGTTATAATCAAATCAAACTCGTAGCAGCGAATAAAATCAATCGCGCGCGCGCGCGAGAAAAATTTACTCAAGTTAATCAAATACCTTAATCGAAAGCTCTAATTGGATCCGTCATAATGAAATACAACATGCTTTCTAAATAAAAAATTGTTTTTTATTTTTGGATGATAAAGAGCTAAATAAAAAAATTACAAATATATATGTGATTCAAAATGTACATGTGTAAATATTTATTTCTAATGTAAATTATATTTATCATATGATATATATTTTAATCTTTGATTTAAAGATGATTTTAAGAAAAATAAAAATATATAATGATAATACGATTTTTAACGATAAAATATTTTGGTATATCAAATATAAAAATATTTAACTCAATATCAAACAGATATTTAATTTAAACTTGTTCAGCGTTTATTCGATCAAATCATTTGTCTTATCGATCGTAAAGCTAGCAATGTATTGTTCGACCGAATCGTCGAAAATGTCAATACTGTTCACTCGTGTGGAATATCGCTTTGTCGAAATACTATCTTGATATTCGAATTCGTGTTTATGGGATGTAGCAAGATGAAGGGTTGTTTGTAAAGTGTCGTTCGCTCGTTTATATCAACATCCAAAGGGAACCGATTGCATCGCGGTACACGACGAGCGGTCGTGGCACACGGTAAATTTAAATGCTAAGCAGTTGTGACATTCGGAACGATAAATAAAGTAGAACGTGATCTACAAAGACCACGAGAATTTCACGGTACAATAAACATAAGATCGCGCGAATTCCGCGACTGTATTGAAATCGAGTATCGGGATTCGATTTATCTCTCGATGTGATGTGTATACAATTTAAATTACTTGATAAATATAAATAAAATGTAACGTGACAGTTATTTATATTTTTCAAATATACAACAGATAATATATCTCTTATAATAATTTCTTACACATTGAGCTGTTAAATTTTTTAATATTTTATTTAATGAAAAAATTATGAAGAATAGTAATAAATTAAAGAAAAATAATAATGATAAAAGTTAAAGAATAATAATAATTAAACATTTTAAATTCACCCGTATATATGTAGGGTCAATGAATTAAATAACTATTTAAATTATAATTACAATATACCTTCTAGACCGATGAATGCATTGGGATCCACATGGGTAATTTGATTTCCGTCGAGTTCCAAAGAATTTAATTGCGTCAAATGGGAGAATACACGCGCCGGGACCTCGCGCAAGTGATTGTGCGCCAATCCTAATGAATCGAGTGCTTTCAATCCTGAAAGGGCAAAACGTTTTGTCGATGAGTCTATTTCATTTAATTGTATGAAACATCTGTAATACATGTGCCTTCATTAAAGTCGTTTTATTTGTGTCTGTAAATCGAATGCGTGACAGATTAAAAAAGTTGATTAATCGAAATTGAAGTCGTTATGCAAAAAGGAATCGGAGAATTAATTGTAAAAATATGTTGTTGCAACTTTGTGTTTTTAAGATATTACGTATGTTTTGAAATAAGTCTCGTACGAGATATTTAAAAAAAAATACGTTTTGTAAAATAAATTCAATACTCGATGCTTTACCTTCGAATTCGCCTTCTTCTATAGTTGTTATGCGATTTTCTTGCAATTCTAATTTCTTCAACAACTCTAACGAATTTAAAGCTTGAGTTGGGATCCTCGTAAGTTCATTTCCGCCTAAATTAAGCCTCTTGAGTCTCCGGCTAGAAACGCGAAATTTAAAAATCCACTCTTATTTTCTTATAATTAGAATATTATAGTTGGAATATTGGCTTTTATTTTTAATTCGCATAATCTTATTAGCTATTAACTAAGCAAATATAATTTTAAATCTTTTTTTTCTTTTTATATTTTCGTTTTATAGTGTTAAATAAAAAAGAGCTTTTGATTCTATTTTCATTTTCTTAGACCTCGCAATATATAGATAGTGGAAGAAACTTACTTATCGAGTCCTTTGAATGCATCTGCCTCTATAGAAGATATTTTGTTTTCATACATCGTTAGGATTTCAAGTGTATCGAGACCTTCGAAAGCTTTGTTGTGCACAACTGTGATTTTGTTACGATTCAAATTCAAAATCAGGAGATGATGGAGGTCTCTCAATGCATTGGATGGGACACTACTCAGCGAATTTTGGGAAAGATCCAGCTGTGTCAATCCCGTTCCTGCAAGGAAGTGAATTATTCAATTCTCTATTTGCATTTACCTTCATTTGTATAAATTATAATTCGATCGTTTTCGAATTTCTTTCAGATATGTAAACTTCCTACTTCGTAAAAAGATTTTATAGAATAGTAATTACGTATATAATTAGTACTATCTGAGATTTATTACGCTTCAGTCTCCTTGTGTCTTAAGAGAATGCGAATTTCATTGTTGTAGATAATCATGAAGTTGATTGATATATAAAAACAAATAATAAAAGTCATATTAAAATAATTTATAATATTTATTTATGATTTATCTTAGATTTATTTGTTTTAGAAATATTTATATATATGTATGCAGATATATTAATGCACAAGAACAAAAATAATTCAATAAACTTTGCAAAAATTAATAAATATTTTTTGCAAGTGAATATTGATTCTGAAAGACTAATGATATGAAGAATTTTTTTGAAAAATCGTATATTTTATATGCGATTAATTTATCATAAAATTGGGGATGTGAAATCAATTCTCACTAGAGAAAATAACATTCTCTATATTTAATATACTTGTGACGTTGCGAGTCTTAAAGCGATTGAGCGACACCGAGATACCTTGCACCGAGTGTCGCATTTTCATTAAGATATGTGGCGATCACGCGATATCTCGACTCTGCGGCAGCTGTAAAAAGAACGTATTTTCTAGTCCCTTACAGTAATTTATTCCGAATCTGCGTGGCCGCAAACGCGCGCCACGGCGGTTCTAAGTCTCGGAGCTTTAAGAGATATAAAGGCGAGTTAAATTTCCAGCCGGCTTTAACGCGGGCCTCGCGTGACAGCCCCAGTACCTCAATGTTGGCTTTAATATAAAAAACTGATCTTAAATCTTCCATGAAAGTCTTTTGACGCCAGAGGATAGCTGTTGTTTTGCGTCGTAAAAAAATGTTATACTGCATGGAGTAGTAGCGTAGCTTTTTTCATCACTTCATGTAGTGACGTGCCTTGAAATTACGGCTTCGAATATTTTGTTGATATACACATTTAATGAAGAAATTTTTTTCAGACACTATTATACATCTTTGAATATGCTCTAAAAAATATTTGCATATACATGCAAATATTTGCATATACGACAATTTGCGTATACGAGTATATTGAATTATTTAGAAAAAGAATTATAATTAAAATTTAAAATTACTATATTGAACATATGTGATATTTGATTTAATAATTTTTAAAAATAAAAATTTAAATGCTCCAACATTTAGGATCGAGTTGGTTGCGCAGCAAATGTATAACGAGATGTTTATTGTATGATTGACAATATCTATCTATATAATAGCAAATGGTTCTAATTTAATTCATTGCAATCTTGTTTTGAGATAAACTCGACTTGATAGATTTCGTAAGAATCTAACCATTCCAGAAAAGACAAAATTATAACTAGCACATTACATTTTTAAAATTTACAGAAAATTCTCTAAAAATAAAATAAAATGTTATATTAACAAATAAATATAAAAACACTTTTTATATTTTATTACATCTAGTAATTAAATAAGAATTCAAATGCGATTAATTTTGGCAGGCGATTATTGTGTTTCCAAATATTTTATATTTTAAATTTTATATATTTCAGTTAATAAAATTACATTTTATTCTATTGAAATGTAATTTTACATAGCTTTCTATATATTTAAAATTTTTCTTTTCTAAAAAAAGAGAGATGAAATACTCAAATCTCACATTTCCTTCTAATTTCCTATTAATATTTCTGCTTTGTTCACTAAATGAATATTATTAATTTAATAAACTTACCGATAGAACTAAGGGAGGATTCCTCGAGCACCGCGAGGCTACTATTATGGATGGTGAGGTGGCGTATGTCGAGCCCAAGGAATACGTATCCCTGCAACTTCGGCAGGTTGTTGTGCCTAAGTCTAAGATAGAATATCACGATGTTCGGCTTAGCTTTAAGCACAGACATGGCCTTGCTGATGTGTTGCATGTCGGTGATCTCGCACACAATGTCCAGGCCGGATTTCTTCATGTTACAGTAACAGGGCGAGATGTCGTTGTGGGTCGGACAGACCAGCGATATTTGCGCCAAACCCGTCGCTAAAACGAGGCAGAGCAACCACACCAGCCGCCACACATCCAACAGACCGTGCTCCCTCATTTTTCGTACGACTCCACACTTCTCCCCCGACTTTATCACAATAGCCGATCCTCCCGGACCCTCCCTCTCTGTTTGCCCCCCGTGCCTGTCTCTCTCGCGTTCACTCTCGCTTTCGGTCGGCTGCGCGCCTCTCTCCAATCTTCCCCTCGCACCCACTCCGTTCCTGTACCTGCAGCCTTAGCTACTTAGCCTCTGCTCTTCTCATATCCATTGTTCGCTCTGCCACGGTGTACCAGTACACCGAGTCTGCAAGCAAACGAAAGCTCGATAAGTCCCCCTCGTTTATGGAAAGGAGCAAGGAATATGACAGGGAGAATCTAATTTATCGAGAACAGGGAGAAGTTAATACGTGAATACGTCGCGTATTATCAAATAATTTTTCGCTAATAAGGTCTAAGAGAGAGAAAATGTAGCATCTGGTTTAATACAGGGTAGACCTTAATTTTTAACTATGGTATCTCAAAAGGAATATATTTCCTACTTATTCGTATTACAGCATTTTGTCATCTTGTTATGGAAATAATAAATTAGTTCGATTATTTTTTTTTTACTATAACGTGATAGTAAAACCTATTTATTTATTTATATATGTGGAAAATATTAGCATGGCACGATATTATTGCTAGAATAGAACAATATTCAGTCCCCTTCGATTTAATGTAGAATCAATAATTATATATTTGTACAGAATAATGGGAAATGGAAATTTATCGGAATTATTATTAGCGCAGAATAACACATATGTTTGATAATGCAATAATATATGCGAATAATATTCCGATCGTATTAAAAGTTTATATTACGAAAAAAATTCGTATACTTGCATAATAGTCTACTTATCGTCGGTAGCTGCGTAAAACTCTTTCACGCATGAATATTAATAACTGCATGAAATTTCAGTATCCACTAATATATTACATCCATTAATATATTACGCTTGAAATTTTTGATAAAATCTTTAAAGTTTCGGCACGTTACAAAATTATAATCTCCCCGTATTTTACATGCGTTGTTGCAAATTTTCATATTAACCCAATTTAGGGGTAAATTTGGGGATGAATTTAACCCAAGAATTAATTACATAATTATATTTTATATCGCAATTAAATAAATTTTGCAAATTACGATTTTTTTAAGTAGTACAAATATTAACATTTTATCTTATAATTAATTTTATATCTTTTTTTATTCGATAAAAAATATATAAAATATATATTCTAAGCCTAACTGCAAAGATATGCAGTTAAAAGTCAAACATTTTTTTAATGAATCGATGATCATATTTTTGCCAAGAAAGAATTGATTTCATATTTATCGAAAAATGCGTCTTTGATATTATTTAATATATTACATAATATATCTTAATATATTTTTTAAGTAATATATCATTTAATTAATATATTTTACATATATAATTAATTAATATTTTAATATATTATTTTTTAATAAATATATTATTTAATATATTTTTCTGAATACATGACACCGTAATACGCACAATCGTAATACGCACATCGTAATAATACGCACGTACGTAAGCATTACACATACCGAGCCATGCGGCGGATGTCGTGTTTTCTTCTAGCTCGTAACACACTCAATGAAAGACGTAAAATGGAGCGATGACGTGTGCTCGCGTGATCACTAGGCATCGCTTTCGATGTCACTATGCGTGTCCGAGAGTTCGATCGATCGAATAATCGCAAAAATGCGCGATCTTTTTTTTTTCAACACTCTCGCATTCTTATATCTCGTTACGCAACAAGTGCATTCGAGCGACGCTGCAAGGAAGAGTTCGCGGTTGTCCTCGAGAAATTTCTCAGTCTATCTAAAGCGAGCGTTTTGCCACATCGCAAAAAGATGAGAATTGCATCAATTTTATCACCTCACACGCGCGTAACGGGCGACGCTATCGAAATCACTCTCCCGACGATGGTATCGCGAACGAGCCTCGAGCCATAACTAATCCCGATCTCGTGCAACGAATACGCCATCATCGTAGTCGCAGCTCACGATCCCATTTCGATCTATTTTCCCGATAAACACCTCCTCTCATCGCATACCCATCTACGCGGTCGCAAACTCGATCGAGAAAATCGACGCTCGGCTTCCGCTATCATCCGCGAAGTAATCATTCACTGCTTCTCCATTTGATAGTAATATCCGTGCGTCGCGTTTGCCCGACGCAAAATTGCGCGTCACGATGTCATCGTCGGTATCGTTTCCAATCGACGATCGATCGTGGATACCGGCGATTAGTTAGAATCAAATTCTCTAATTTTCCGAAAGTGACACATCGGACGTAACGCGACCCTTCGTCGTCGATATCCGACGCGATCCCCTTTAATCCGCCGTTGAAAGTACGCAGGCGCGATCAGCGTGACTCCGGAAGTCGATGGATTCGGAAGGATACGATGGACCACCGTGATGACGGAACCGACGGTGTCGATAGCGAAACTATCACTAAAGACGGACTCCTGGTCTGGGACGCGGAGGCGCGTCACAGTTCGCAGAGCTCGGTACTGCGTTGTCGGTGACCTGCGTGCCCGTTGACGTTATCATTGCTCGACTAATGGGAACTAATCGCTTCCGGCCTAGGGATCATGGGATCTCGGGACCGCGAGATTATATCGGCCAACGCCATCGTTGCGCTCGTTGCGATCGGATAAAATCGCATACAAAGGATTTATGATCTCTAAAAATAGAGAAAGAAATAGGACATGGTCTGATGAAAAATCGAATATTTTTATCTATGCCCAGAAAAATAAAATGTTAATTATAACATTTTCCACACGTGTCCCAGAAAGTCCGCTATAAATTTTAAATTAAAATAACTCATTCATCATATGTTACTTATTGACAAACTAAAAATGTTCAATAATTGTCATAATACATTTATTTTTATTACTGTGACTTTAAGGATATTTTGTACTTATTTTCAAAGTATTGAGAATTTAATGAAAATTGTACAGAATGTCCTTACATATGTTTAGAATCTTCAGTACAATTTTTAAAACGATTCACTAAAGCGTTCACAAGTAAAGATTTTAATTTGCACCGAATTAACATGTTCTTATGGAAAACGTATAACCACGTCGATTCAAATGACAAAAACACATGGAAATAATATTCAGAATTTGTTTAAAATTTGCAAAAGTGTACATACAGAGGAAATTGATCAAATAATATTATACAAGTACTAACTGGTTAATAAGATATTAAATATAATTCAATGAAATTAGCCATGTATTTGACACAAGGCGAAATTCTCTGCCAAAAGTTAATCATTTCGATTAACAAAATTCGGAATATTTCAATAAAAACGTAATAAATATAAAAAAATATATCTCTGCACTGTTCAGGCAATTTCTATATATATCTCTGCACTTCCAGGCAATTTCTCAAAATACACCAAAAGTGGATATATTCGTCAATATTGATTTTCAGCTACTTTTTGCTGGGATTGTACATACAAAGCATCCTTAAGTGTAATGTAACATACAAATTAATTAAAAATTACATGAAAAAATAGTTATAATAATTCATAAGAATTGTTGTAGGACATTAACATATAATAGTAATTATTTTGATTTAAATTATTTGTAATAGAAACATTTGATTTTAGTAAATTTGATTATTTTGTATGTCAAAGTTCAAGATTATTTGAAGATTTATTTTAATCTTTCTTAAAATGTTAAACTGATACTGAGACATATTAATTGTTTAAAATGAGATAAGTTAAAAATACTCAAAATAATATTCCATTTCTAAGAGACATATATAAAGTGTCAAGTTATAAAGGTGACATAAATGTAACACATGAAAACGTTATAAAAATAATAACACATAAGTTGCATGTTAATTTTACATTGAAGTACTAAAAACGTGGTAACACAAGAAAATTTTAACACATGGACACACACAATTTTTTGCTATGGGACTTTCCCATACGAAGACATCGTAATATTACTTTCGCGTTAATGATCTTTTCTTTACTTCGTAATACTTCGTAATATTCGTTATATGAGAAGGTATACAAAGTCCTCTTTTTTTAAATCTCCCAGCAGAAATCTTGTTAGAGTACCTATCAATATCGAAAATTAAAACGTAAAGTATATACGCTTCTTCAGGCTCTTGTTATTTTTAACAACAACGTCATTCTGCAGATTATACTTGGAATATGATATCGTTTACTCATGTTTTTAGTGACTTCAGAATTTTTTAAATGTGTGACATAGATAGTTATAAAAGGGTAATCGGAATTAGTTTTTCCATTTACTTTAGAAATGTAAAATCCTCTGAATAGTTTATAAATAAAACCTTGCAGTACGTTTTTTGCAAAACGTTGAGTACGTTTTATATATATGTTAGCTTTTTTGTTAATTTTAGAAACGAAACGTATGGATGTCAGAATAAATTTATACTCGGAAAATGTAAAATTTTAATACAAATGTCGTATACAGAATGAATAAATCGATATATGCTCTGGCTCTAAAAAATATATATATATACTGAATATCATTTTATACATTCCAAAGGCTGGTTATGCAATCTTTTATTTTTATAAATTTGCAATAACTTCACAATTCTAGTATTTTCAATTACATACATAATATATTAAATATATTAACAAGTATTTTACATTTTTTATATATGCAATTATTTATTACATATTTTTAAATTACATTTTTCTATTATGAAATAAAAAAATATGTAACTGAGAGTTAAAATAAAGACGTATTAATCTTTCTGTCTGTCGAAATTTTATACTTTCAAATTAATCAAGGTAATATAAATCGCCTTAGGATCGGATAATCGGTCCCATTCGCTATCTGTAGACAATCCGTTTCCGATCAATCTGTCGAGTAATGTCGTAATTATGGGCGATTAAGGCAACTTTTGCGATCGAAAGATGAAGAAAGACCGAGACGATGCATTATTACCTATTCCAAAGACCTTTCTGTTAAGGTGCTCCTCTAGGAAATTCGAAACCGAGATGAAGGATATTGCTCGACCGCTAATTGAGTTCGGTAGTGAGTTGTATTCGCGGAAAGGAAGATTCAATTGGGAAAGTATTAAGAGCTTTCAGCTTCCGCTGTGCCTGATTTCTTCTAGGAGTGACGCTTTCGCGTAATATCTGCGACTTAACTTCCATCCTTGTTTAACGCAATGAGCGTAAAGTACGGAAATTTAACGGTAGCCAGAGTTGAGGATTAAATCTAGGGATTAATAATTTTATGGTGAAAAGTGACGAGGAAATTAATATCGAAGGAGATACAATGGCAAGCGATAGCGATAAATATAATAAATTCTTGTTTCGCAAATTTTTTAATCCTTAAGGGAGGAACCTACTTTAGAAGCCCGAAAAAAGGATGATTTTTAAGAAATTTTTTTTTAAAGGAAAAATAAGAGTTACGTTTTTGAGACTTTTAGTACGTTTTATATAATATTTGAACATATATACAAATTTTTTCAATATTATATACAAATTTTTTCAATAAAAAAAAGTTAAATTTTCGTTAAATAATTTAATGTTAATTTTCGTGCTTCGTCATTGGAGTTGCGCCACTGTGTAGAGTATAGCGTCTTCAATTCTTGTCTAAAAAAAAATCCAAGTATATTTTTAATTTTTATATAATTTTCCTAACATTCCTAAATAAACCAAAAAATTTTAAATAAGTATAAAAATGAAATTTCTGTGTAATTTTGGTTTTTTTTTTTAGACAAGAATTGAAGACGCTATGCTGTAGACAGTGGCGCAACTCCGATGACGAAAATTAACATTAAATTATTTAACGAAAATTTAACTTTTTTTTTATTGAAAAAATTTGTATATAATGTTCAAATATTGTATAAAACGTACTAAAAGTTTCAAAAACGTAACTCTTATTTTTCCTATAGAAAAAAATTTCTTAAAAATCATCCTTTTTTCGGACTTCTAAAGTATGTTCCCCCCTTAAGTAAAATAAATAATAAATGTGCACAATATAAGCTGGATTTGTTTCAAAATACGTCGTCTTATAGAATAGATTCGATGTGAAATATTCTCTTTCATGAAGCACGAATTGCGGAGATAATTCGGACGGGAATAGTAATTAGCATATGGAGTGTTGAGTGAGAGGGTACGAGTCTCTTCTGTTAATCGTTTGACATCGCCAAATCGATTCGTCTTTGCTCGCTCAACAATAGTTCGCTCCGTTTTGTTTGTACGACGACTGGCGTAGAATAAATTGTACAATCTAACGTGAGAGAGAAAAAGAGGGGCACTCTATTAAATTGAATGACGTCGACACTTCGATAACGTTGTTCGAGTAGAGCTCACGGCGAACGCTTTTTTCATTTTCCATGCCCGGTATGCTTACGTGATTGACTTTCGTACCGTAGAAAAAAAAAGAGAAAGACCGAAATTTAATTTGTCGAAAACCACATGTTTTCATTCTGGAAGAAGATAGGTGATACAACAAGAATAAGCTCGCGTAATCATAATAATCTCAAATATAATTTGTATTGACCGAAAAAAATATTTTTCTTAATTCACGATTAATATAAAACACATGATGTGATTTATAATATCCAAACATGTTTGCGATTTCGCTACATTATGATTAAATTACAGAATCGTACTTCATGACTTTATCTTATTAACAAACCCGAGTAGATGCTCTTCTCTCAGTTTATTTATTGCGATTTTATTTGCAGGAAATATAATTTTTTTATTAATTTTTATTAATTTTTTTAACAGATTATATTAAATGTAATTATAAATTTTTATAATTATAAATTTTAATATCAAACATAATATACGCGCATAATATTTAATATTATTAAACTGTGATGTAGTGATAAGCAAATTGCGCCTTTTTGCGATTTGCGATAAGTTGAACGATTACAAAATGTTTCTTTGCACCTCGAGCATTGTAATTATTTACAATTTACATATTCAATCATGTGGCATGCCTTACAGCTTGGTCATGTTTTCGATTTCGTTATATTATCTTGCGATGAGCCACACAGTTCAGACGTTATCTTGCTCCGAAAATTAAAACAAGATGCTTTGATCCCAGCTAAATTACAGCCATTCAATTCATATCATATCGCATTTTCGGAATATGGCCTTAATCCTTAGCGCGCTTTGACATTAAATATACGACGAGCTTATTATGCTTTATTAGTATACGTTGCGTGTGATTAGCATACGTTCAACGATGCACGCAGCAAAGCTCGACATATGTATTTACATTTACGTAGAATTGATAGTAAATCTTGCATACCATAATATACGTTAATCTAGCATATGATTAATGTACATTAATTTTGCATACGATTAATGTATATTACGATCGATGACATCGAATAGTCGCACTTTTGATATATTTTTTTGTCCTCACATGTGCACAATCGTTTAATTGCGTACTAATTGTAAGATGAGAAAATCATATTTTAAAATCATGTTTTAAGAGTACATTTTAATGATTGCATGATTAATTTTTTAAGGTATTTATACATATGGATTCAATTTTATCGTTTAAAG